GTCCAACATACAACGGCACAAAAAAGATATTCCCATTCCAAAAGGTAGAGTCTGCATAGACAAGAATGGGGCCAAAGCAAGAACAAAATCCACCAGGCACAGTCCCGCAGTTCCAGGTCTGCGACAAGATGTGAACGCTCTGCTCCAGCTGCCCAGCCCCACGGCCTCTCTTCACACACTGCCCTCTCGGGGGCACCCGGCTCCCGGGCCACCACTCTCAAATCTGGGTGGAAGCTCCCTCAGCCCACAACACCTACATTCTGCATGTACTCAAAACCAGCGCCAGGTAGATGACACCAAGGTCTGCCACAAGCTCGAGCCAGCTCAAGCAGTACCCAGACCCTGTGCCTCGAGCCGGTGGCTACAGAGGCCTCAGTGTCTGGACTGAATCTGGGGGGAATCAATTCTCTAGGCTGCTCTTCTTCTCTAGCATGGCCCTGGGGCTCTTTTCTCAAAGCAGTCTCTCACTTTTTCTTTTTCTTTTTCTTTTTTTGCAATTCTGAGCCTGCCAAAAGTGGGGTCTTGCCGGTTCCTGCCATGCCCTCAGGCTGTTTTTTCTGGGATCCTGTTCCAGAGTACTTGGCTTCTTTTTAATGTTAATGTTTTTAGCTATCCAGCTCTCCTCTGCTCCTTAGCAGAGCTTCTTTCTGGCTAACCGAAAACTTTAAATCATCTCACAGGTTATTTTGCTCTTCATTATTTTGTTTTTTGTTTGTGCTGGGGATATTTTGTTCTGTTTGAGACAGCATCTCACTCTGTAGTTCAAGCTGATCTTGAACTCCCTGTGTAGCCCAGGCTGGCCTCCAACTTGCAGCAAACCTCCGGCCTCAGCCTCCCGAGCGCTGGGCTCACAGGTGTGCGCCACCACGCCCAGCTGCTCCTGATTCTTCCTGTAGAGCTGGCCAAAAGCCCCCAACAGTACCCAAGTCAAAGCCTGAAGGTTTGCCTTGAAATTTCCTCCACCAGATTAGTCTGCTGCCCTTAACCTAAGTCTCCTACAAAGTCTTAGGTCATGGGCAAAATGTAGACAAATTTTCTGCTAAAGAATAACACACACAGCCTGGAGTCCACCTGCCAGTGAAGTCCTTATTCCCAAATGAAACCTCCTGAGCCTGGTCTTTTCCACCAGCTTTTTATCGACATTCTGGTCTTCTGAGCTCTGACAAGAACCTCCCACCAAGCTCTTTCGTTGCTGAGACGCAAGAGCTGACACCCACAACTCTAAGGTGAAAAGGTTTATTTCAGCTCAGAGCTCTGTAGAGGTTTCAGTCCATAGCTGACTAGCTCCAAGGCAGGGCAGCCTGGGGAGAGGGGCATGGCAGAGAAGAAGGAGTTCATGGCAGGACAGGAAGCAGACAGAGATTGAGGGAGGAGGAAGGGAGATCAACCCTTTGGGCCACCCCCCACCCCCGTGACCCACCTCCTCCCAATGTCACGGTGGGCTGAGAACTCACCAATGGACCAATCCACCCATGGGCTCACTCTGCCTCAGGGGCACATCCAGGCGTAAACCACAACTAACATCCCCAAGGGCAGAGTGAGGACTCAGAAATCTACGCCTCTCACTGTTCTTTCTACCGCTAAAGCCCCGCAGCTAGTCCAAGTGTCCCGAGGGCAAGACTGTGCACATCCTCCTCTCCGTGTTACCACCTGTGCAGCAGCGACTTTATAATCTTAGCAAACGATACGCTTAACCAGTGGATGGGCGTGTGGGCAGGTGGATGAAGGGAAGGCATGAGGGATGGAGAAATGGGCGATAGAGGGAGGAGAGGATGGAGGGATGGAGAGCAGATGCTAGGCAGACGAAAAGAGAGGGGTCGGGGATACAGAGTCCGTGAAGGATGGACCAGAGAGTGGATGAACGAGCGAGCGAGCGAGTGAATGAGTCAACATGTGATCAAATGAAGGCATTTTGTCTACCCAAGGAACAACTCAACCACACGAGAAACTTCCCAAGCTGAGAGGCAGATGTTTAGAAAATGAAGGGGCTAAACCCAGAGCCTGGACGATGCCTGAGGGCAACAAACCTCCTAAACGACAGGGGAAACAGGGCACTTTCTAAGCCAGCCTGAGACGGATAGAGCAGCTACTCTGTACAGGTCCTTCCGTGCTCTAACTCAGCGAAGGTACGCAGGAGACGGCCAGGCAAGCAGGAGTAGGAAGGAACCTTCACCCTCACGCGCCAGACTGTGGCATCTGTCCCCTCGCTGACCCAGAACCAACACAGGCTTCCCTGGCCAAAGAGGCCCAGCCCTGGAGAGCACCCCTTTGCCCCCAGCCTGCCCTGCTCACAGGTGACAGCTGCACTGTGATTCTAGAGCTTCACTTCCCAGAGCGGGATGGGCGCCACCTCCCTCCTGGCTGGGATACCCGTCACTCGTCACGGCTTAGGGCTAGGGCAGAGCGATGGTCGTAGATGCACGGCCTGACGTGGCTGCAAGGTGCTGGGCACACCTCGAGCAGATGTGGGTGACTCTACTGGACCAGTTACAGATAGCGAAAGTAGCCACAAAAGGGGTCGGCCCAAAACACCCCTTCCCTGCAAAAATACCATCAAGAGCCACCAGGAGAGACCAGCACAGCCAGTCAGACGCCAGACAATAGCCCCCTCTTGGGGTGCACTCCCCAGCACTCCCCACATCCTCTGGCTCCAGGCCTCACTCTGCACAGAAGTGCTAACCACAGGCTTACCGTGGCCAGAAAACCACCCGGGCAAGGAGGAGGGCAACAACAGGAAACCGAGGCAGGTGGCCAGAGCCAGGGGCAACGCTGCCACTGGGGGATGCGAACCTTCTCCTGCTGCCAGGGCACCTGGGCAACTCAGCCACCGGCTACCACACACACAGGCCGTGATCACACCGCAGAAAGGCCACAGGCACGGCAGCTCTGGTGTGGGGACCGGGAAGCAGCCCAGGGCCAGGGCCCCCTCCCAGGCTTCAGCAGGACCTCACCGCTGCCTCCACAAGAAGGCCCTGGGGAAACCAAGTCATTGGGCGAGGCCGCACCTGGTGATGGCAGAGCTGAGACCCAGGTCCACAAGCTCAGCTCCTGACTCAGCCTCCATGGGGCAAGAGCTCCATCTTTACAGACGAAAGCAGGCAGCTCCCCACAAGGTAGCCATGGCGGCCAGGGCAGGTGTGGAGGGCGTCCCACGTACTCAACCCCCACACCCAGCCCACACACACTGCAGGTTGGAGGTGTGGAGGCGTGGGTCCAAGTCACCCCACTGGGACCTGATGGAGCCCACGGTGAGAAACCGAGGCAGCCTGAGTTCAAGGCTAGACGGGAGGATAGCACGGAGAGGCAGTCCTATGCCTCTCGGAGGCCCTGGATTTCGGGGCAGTGCTCAAGGCTGGACCCTGCTCCCCTCAGCTCAGCCAGGGAGCCTGAGTCACGACGTCACCTCCAGTTCCCACACCCCACGCTGTGACTCAAAGCCCAACCGCCCCATCCACTCTCCACTTCCTATAGGCAGGTGCCAGGGAGTGGCAAAGCCCCACCGCTGACCAGCCCAGGGCGACTCCAGCAGACCAGGGCCAGGCACGATGGAGCCCTACACAGAGCCCATGCCACCAAAGCTCCTCCGCAGTGCCAAGGGCGGCCCTTTGAGAATGTCTGGCCACACAGCTGGCCGGCCGTCTGATGAGTTTAATTCAAATGTATGTGCATCTTAGATCATTGTATTCCACGCCAGCAAATCAAAAGCAACACAAAATTACACACTGAATACTCTGGACTTTAACCGTGGCCAGGAATGGGCTGCGCCTGGCTCTTCTCCATGAGACTCTTTTCAGTGCCAGCTGTGTAAGTGTGAGTAGGGGGTGTGTGTGTGGGCATGACAACATTCGTGACTGTGAATGAGTGCCTTGAGTAAGTGGTGTGTGTGAGCGTGTGGCCACAGGTGTGATTCAAACAGGTACACATCTACATAAGCGTGCAAGGGTGTGAACGTGTATATCAGGATGTCAGAGCTGTGTGTGCAGACAGCTGTGTATGAATGTGTGTGCCAGCATACGACTGTGTAGCTCTGGCCCACCGACCCCATCCTGTCCAGGCCCTGCAGGCAAACCCTGCTCTGCTGTCCGCCGGGAGCAGCGCCAAACCATGGAAATCAAAGCTGCGGAGCTGTGAGCCCCTCGCGGGAAGAGACCCTGCACGGCGCGATCCAAGCCTCAAGCATACAGGCAGCTGACAGCCCCAGGGCACAGTGACCGAGTCACAGCCTGGGACCTCCGCGTGTCACAGAAGAGACAGGTGGAGTTTTCTAAGAGCCGAGATCACAGACACACACGGGCTCTTGCAGGAGTCCCCAGACCTCAGGTCCACAGGATGGGGGACTGGGGGGACCCCCACACCCACGTGGCCACTCACAGGGAGCCCCCATCATGCACACACATCGACACCACAGGCCTGCAAAGGCGGGCTCCTCCTGGATCCCCTCCTCAGTGTGTGCAACTGCAGATATAAAACCCCCTTTGCAGGTCCTAGCTTGTGCACTCACCGAACACTCCCTCTGGCGCCAAATCCCGAATAACAGCCCTCAAGGAAGTCAGGTGAGGAGGGTCTGCCATCTCCCAACAGCAGGCAGGAAGCTGCCTGCCACAGGGGCTGGGCAGTGGGAGCAGAAGGGACAGTCCCAAGCCCTGACCCCACTGATGACAAGGAGGAACCACAACCTGCTGTGCTTCCGACAGCAAGTGACATCCACCTCACTCTGTGCCCAGGTGGCCAGAAGCCGCTAACAAGGCCCTGCCCAGCTTCAGGCCCCTCATGAGTGGGAGCCCCACGCCCTGCTTTCCTTCCACTTGCCAGGCCTGAGACACCTGGCACCACCAGAACAGGACAGGGCAGGACCGTCCTGCTGCCGGACTTGAGACGGCCCCGCCTCTCGCGCCCGCCATTGGGAACCCGGTCTGCATGCAGCATGGCTTGGCGGCCACCAGGCCCATCTGTCCACGTGGCCACCACATCGCGTCTGAGCCTGGAGATGGGACACTCACCTTCCCGAAGTCACGGACATCGAAGAGATCAAAGGGGTCGAACAGCTCACTGTTCCTCAGCCCAAACCTATCGTGGCAGACTTTGAGGAAGGTGCGGATGTTCTTCAGACACAGGAACTAGAGGCAAGAAGGAGGTGGTTAGTAAGGTGCCAGGCCAATGGGGTCACAGTGACAGCAGCCAGAGGCAGTGCGTGCGGACCCCCACTCTGGCAGAGGGACAGCCCAGCAGTCAGCTGAGAACCGGCCAAGGCTGGAGGTGGGCTGGGATAGAGCCAGGATCGGCTCCTGAGCCACATCCCCTGCGGGACGGCCCACGGTCCAGGGCTGCAAGGACTAAGGCCCCATGGGAAGACGAGTCCTGCTCCAGGGAGCCTGAGAAGCAGCCAGCGGCTCCATGGCTCCTCAGCTGTGGCAAGTGAGCGTCCACCCCATACCCTCGCCTACAAGTGCCCAGAACATCTTAATGCTAACTATCGCAGCCTGAGGTCAGCAGGATGGTGGAATGTGCCACACATGTGACTTCCCGCAGCACTGAACCCCTAATCGCTCCAAGGCAATGGCGCCAACAGCCAGAAACCACCCCACGGGAAGCCCTACAGCCCAGGGATCGGCAGCGCTGGAACACGAGGCCAGAGCACCCACATCCGATCTGGCCACCGCCTCTCTACCCACTGTCCCGCAGCTGAGTTCCTGTCCCAGCCCTCCTGGGCTAGATAGGCACATGGCAGGCATGTGAGGAGGGGCTGGTGAACAGCAGCACTTCCAGGCCTCATGCAGAAGCAGCTGGCAAAGAATCTCACCGGGCAACTGGTGAGGTGGCCCTGGTTTCTAGTCCCAGCTTCACAAGAGTCGCACAGGAGACCAGGAGGGGGGCCTGGCTCTTCTGGCCTGGCTTCCCGGTGTACCTGCTGCCCTGGGCTAATCGTGTACCTTGGCAGCCCACAGGGGCATTTGGCACATGGGGGCCACGAGCCCCCAATCCGGAACCCGGGCTCACATGACCCAAATTAGCCCAGGACTTCAGACCACTCATCAAACCCTTGAGGGACAGAACCTCAGCGCACCAGTCCCTGCTGCCCCAGAAACGGACAAATGGCAGGCTTGAATCAACTTCGACACATACTCAGCCTGCAGAAACCAAGCCACGGAGAACAGCACAGGAGCACGGTCTCCGACCTCACTCGATCCCTGCAGTAGACAGGGCCCTGGCCGCACAGCCCACCCACCTCCCTGGTCACTCACTGTGCTCTGCCTGCGCCTGTCTGTCTGTCTCTGCGCACACTCTCTTCTGAACACCTGCGTCACGGGAAGTGAGATGCTTCTGTCCCCTAAACACCTGCGCCTGCGTCTCCTGAGGACAAGGTGTCCTCCCCCATCACACATACCGTCAAAACCGGGACAGTGACGCAGAGGCCCACAGTAACTCCAGACCTAACGACGTTTCTTCACCTCTCATAAAGGACAACCGAAGCACCCTTTACAACCACAACGAAAGTCTAGTGCAGGCCCCAACCAGGACACGTCTACTCGGTCACCGTGAGCCTAGAACGGGATTCTCCGACAGAACTTTCTAGAATGATGGCAGCGTCCTCTAGATTTGCTGGCCAAGGGGGCAGCCACCAAAAGCGTGCCCACCAAGCACTCCCGGGAAACTGAGCTTTTCATTTAATTAAGTTAAAATCCACACGTGACTGGAACCTGCCGCTTTGATCAATGAGGATCTCAAAGGCTCCTTGAGCTGTGTCTTCAAGACCTGGAGATTCTGAAGGACACAGACCCACACGAGAAACAATGTCAGATTCCACTCACAGGAAGTCTGCACAGTGGCCAGGAAGGGGTGTCTCTCCCTCCACCCCACCCCGCTTTTTTGGTACCAGAGATTGCAAGGATTGAACTCGGGATCCCTCTCTCCTGTTTTAATTAGCACGTGTGTATAAGTACCTCACGTTCACACTCCCTGTACAGAGTACATAACTCATTTTCATTTCTTTATCCTCTTTCCCTCCCAACCTCCTCCCGCCTCCATATCTTGCTCCCCTTCCCCAAGAAAGATCTACCTCTCAATCTCCTATTGTGTGTCTTTTATTTTGCTTTTTATTTACACTTTGGGTTTCTTATGCAAGCAAAATCCGGAGACTTACACTTGTGTGAATTTTATGTTCTGTATGCTTTACTACAATAAAAAGACAAGATTAAAGAGAGAGACAGACACAAAGACTGCAGACACAGACCCACACAGTGAAGGCCATGGGACCAGAGGCAGGGACCAGAGTGACGTCGCTCTGGCCAGGAACGCAGAGGCTGCCAGCAGCCACCAGGAGCTGGAGAGGCTGGACCACTCTCCCTAGGAACCCTGGGAAAGACAGCCAGGCCTGGTTCTGAGCCCAGCCTCTCCCGGCCCCCACTGCTGAGACAGCGAGCTCAGGGTGCAGGGCACCACCTGGCCTGCAAACCAGCCAGGTGGGCCCGAGCCGGCAGCACCACACTCTGCCCTCTGCGTGTCCTGCTCTGGGGCTCACACTGCAGCTTCCAGCCTGGCTCAAGAATTTTTTGCCAACAGCCATCTCTAATTTCCACAGAGCGTTTATTTTAATGCCTCCTCAGCCTCCCATTTTAGAGTTAATTACACAGGGCCTGACCATAATCACAGCCGGCAAGGCCAGGCATCCTTGGGGGCTCAGATGAGCCAGCGTCCCTTGCCCAGGGACCCCGCCTCCACTTGGCCTGGCCCTACCCCACCCTTGGCCAGTCCAGCCAACCTAAGCTTAAGGAATCCCTCCTGGTGTAGCTCAGCACCCGGGCCAGGGCCTGGAAGACTGGCATCTGACTGACAGGCTGGGGATAAACAAGCTCTGGGTCCCATTGTGTAGAGCTGATGCCAACGGCCCAGCCCCCTCCACAGACCGTTTCCTGAGTCCCCTCATTTGTGTTTATTCATTCTATTTACACACAGGGAAAATGAGGCAGCTAGTATTAAGACCTCAGCACCCAACCAGAAGGTGGCAGAGCCAGGAGTGAACCCATGTTTGCTTCATGACCCTGGGTGAAGGTACAGGTGGGGTCAGTGCTGGGGCTGCACCCCTGTCAGCATCCATGATTCCTCACCACACGATCAGGAAACTGAGCTCCAGTGGAGAGGGAGGGACAGGGCCAGCCACATTCTTATTTCTAGCCACTTCCTGTCCACCAAGGTGGGTCTCTTCTCCCCTCATGGCCCCAGGACCCAGGGGAACAGTCGGCTGGGGACGGACCCAGGCTGAGTGATGGTGGGTGATGGCTTGGGACCCTCTGCAAGGGCGAGGGCCACACCAGCTGGCTCGGGCCATTGGGGGACGCCCTCTCCATCTCGGTCAGCCCCTCGGATCTCATCAGGCTGAACCAGATCAGTGCCAGACACAAGGGGACCTGGAGGGGGTGGGTGGACAGGAGGCCCACCACAGCCGCTTCTGTGTGCAACTGTAAAACCAACTTCCCGGGGTGGGCACGGCGCTCCCTGCCCCGCTCTGGACTACCGGGAAGGGTGGGGAGGACGACCCAAGTGAAGGAGAGGCCCCGAGGCTGTGTGGACCCTGTGGCCACCCTCAGGGCTCTGGGCACCTCTGGACGGGGCACAGGACAGGCTGCCTGGCCTGGGACACGTGAGAGCAGAGGACCACTCTGAGGTCCTGGAGCAGCAGCTCCACCAGCAGGCGGCAATGACCACAAGTGCACCCAACCTCATGTTCAGTGCCCCCGCTACTCCAGTACGGTGCAAGAGGCCAGGACTCTGCCCTCAGCTTGACCTGCTACAGTCAGGTCAGGACAGCCCAGTGCTCTGGTGAAGAAGTGGGCACAGGGGACGTCCTTTCTCACCTAGGGCAGGAGACCTGTGCTTCCTAGGCTCACTGCCGCATTGTCCCTGTGGCTGGCTCCGGCTCAGGGGCCCAAGACGCAGCAGCAGTGATCGGTGCTGCCTGGGAGATGTGGGCCCTGCGGTCCTTCACCATGAGCACCTGGACATCTCATCTCTATAACAAGGGCCTGGCCAGTCCCTTCCCACGCTGACCCCTGGGCATTGCACACGCTGGCTCACGACTGTCACAAAAGCCCTGTTGTACTCAGGGTTTTCTAGAACTCCAAGAGACCCCCACCCCTGGCTCCTCACAGCAATGCCACACCCGTATGGGGATTCTCAGAAGACCGGGGTTGCAAGGTCCCCGGCCTGCCCAAGGCTGCTAGCAAGATATGTGCGGCAGAGCTGGGGCACCCTGGGCTGCTCTGCCTCCGAGGCCAGGCCGCTGACCTTCACGCTGCCCTCGGTGAGTCCAAGCAGGGGATAACAGGGTTGCATAAAGGAGAAAACAGAGCCAGGTGCAGCGGTGCACAGCTGTGAACCCAGCACTCAGGAGGCTGAGGCAGGTAACTTGCTGCAAGTTCAAGGCCAGGCTGGGCTGCACAGTGAGTTCAAGGGCAGCCTGAACTACAGAGCAAAACTCTGTGCCACAAAACAAAAGGTCCCCTTAGGAAAACAAAGCAGAAGCCCAGCCTCTGAGTCCCCTGCACAGAACAGGCCCATCCCATTCAGGAGTTTCACGTTCACCATGGATCCATCCCCATGAGGAACTCCGGCTTTGAACCCCAGTGGGCAGATGCGGGAACAGGCGAGAGGATGGTGGCCTGCCACTGGAGCCCAGGCCAGGCACCCTCGGGTCTCAGCCTGGCCTCAAGCCCTCAGGTGTCCCTGGCTGTATCAAGAGGCCACCTGCAGCGCCCCTGGAGAGGGAAGCCCCTGCCGGGCTCCAGAGATCCCTGCCCCACCACCGCCCGGTCCTCAGTGCACCAGGGTCCTCGTGCAGCTCAGCCGGCATCGCCCGACCACCCTGCCCGTCAGAGCAGCCCCTGCCCTGGCCCGTGGCCACATTCCAGCACAGACCCCACGGTGGACACAGCTAGCAGTGACAGCCTGGTGGCCGCAGGCTGTGCCCTGAACTGCTCCTGCTCAACAGCCCCTTCTCCACCCCACACCTCAGTTTCTCCCTCTGTAAAACAGTCAGGAAGCATTCTGCCCCCTCTACAACACTGGGCCCTTCCTGGGTGACGAGCAGGGGCCCTTGACATGAGACACTACAGTCAGCCAGGCACCCGGAGATGGAGCCCGGACGACTGTCCACTCATAGCCACTCCAGCAGGACAGCGGTGAACACTGGGACAGGACCCTAGCTCCCACACTCAGGGAAGAACCTCTCCCCAAACCTCAGCCATCTGAGGAGCCGGAATTCCCACACCCAACCCGACAGGCTCAACAGCCAGGCTCCAGTGAATGCCAGACACAGGGAGCTGCACAGGACTCTTCAGCAACTCGGTGCCACTCACAAGCAGCCCCTGCACTTCCCGCTGGAGCGGCACTGGCCGCCTGGGCAGCTGCCGAGTTGAGGAGTCACACTGACCGGAACTCCAACTGGCAGCAGAGGACATCTTCAATCAATAGAAAATGGTGACATGAATTAGTGTCTTGTTTTATTTATGTCACGCTCATTCCGACAACCATTTAAAACAGCACTAGGGCCGGGGATTTGCCTCAGTGGTTCTGTTGCAAGCACAAGTGCCCTAGTTCGATCCTAGTACCCCCCCAAAAAAATCTACCCTTAAAACAGCACCATCACTGCTGTTAGGTGCAGCTTGTCAGAACAGATCAAATTTGGGGCCCGCGGTAGGTACACGGGTGATCTGGGGTGACAAGCTGGCCAGATGCTCCATGAAGAGAGCAAGAGTACAGCACCTGGGAGACAGACAAACAGTCATCCACAAAGCATTCTTAGCTGCCCCTGGCATCTATCAACAACCCATTACCCCAGCAGCAGAGACTGCACAGGGCATGCGCCCCCAATGCCCAGGTGAGACCCTCACGTGTAGACCGTCTCTGCCAAGAGCGAGCCAACAGGTGGGACTGGTGCAGCCATAGAAACACATCCAGACCCAACTCTGCGGCCCCTGTCGTCACCCACACAGTGCTGGGTTTCCCCGACTGTCTCCAGGCCCCCAGCACTGAGTCTGCGGAGACACTTGATGGCTGGGCTGCTGGGAAGAATCCGACCCAGCTCCCACCATCCTCTGCCTGCAGCAGAGGATGATTTGCGCGGTGTCCACACTCCATTAGGTCCAGACGATTAAGTCCACTCACTCAGGCCCATTTCCTCGGCAGCGCACAGAGCGGGGACAAAGAGCCAGCCAGCCATGTGATGGGCTGGACCGCCTCTGAAGGGCTGGGAGGCTGAGCCGGGCCGCCCCTCCCCCCGGAGCTGGACCAGGCTCCCTGTGTGGGGCCGCACAGGCGACGGGCAAGGGTGCAGACAGCGCCCCACCACCTGGTCGGCCCATAGTGGCGGCAAGAAGGGCCAGGTCATCAGCGTGCTCGTCTTCCGCTAAAGTCACCGATCAGCCAGCCTCTCTCGCATCCTTTTCTAGGGGTGGGGACCATCCAGCTCCCGCCTACTGAGGGAGGACCCAGGTCAACCAGGGTGTGGGCCAGTCCTGGGGGGAGCCCAGCCCAGACCCCAGGCAGGAGGAGGAAGACACCACGCCATTGGGGTGCACACAGAGCAGCACCAAGTTCTGGGCCTGCAGGCCCCTCTCTCCCCAGTCTCTGCTCTCCAGGGAGAACGGTACCCCACCCACCCACGAAGTGTGGAGCCCACCCTGGAGACCTGACCATCCAGACAGGACAGGCAAAGTGGACTCAAATGTGTGGCCTGACTTCTGCCACCCTCTGGCCACAAGGCAGCCGGAGCTCGAGGTGCGCGCTCTGGGGCCCCGAGCCTTTACTGGGCTGAATGTTGCCCTGTGTCCTGCTTCCCAATCTTTCTAAAGTGCACACCCCGCCCCTTCTCCCCTCCCCACAGGCTCCGTCAGCATCACAGGCCACCTGCTCACCTGCTCCAGATGGTGCTGTGAAAGGGGAGGGGCTTCCAGGCCACACGAGGAGGGGCTCAGCTGGCTGATGGGGCAGGGCCCTGGAGACAGATTGACAGGTCTGATACCAGAGCCACAACCTGAACTCCAGCCCAGGGCTACAAATCCCAGGACATCCCCCAAAAAGCATGTGCGACCAGAGCGCCTGTAGCCACAGGTGCCCACAGAGCCCGGATGTACCCGGCTGTAAAGTTGAGCGTCCGTCAAAGGAAGGCACACTGCCAGGCCTGTGCAAAGCTGTCAGGTGATGACTCCCTCCATCCTCACTTTCAAGCACTTTCTCTTCAACACTCCAGGGCAGATCCACCAAGAAAGCCACCTCAAAAAGCTCCCAGGCGGAAGTGGCCGGAGGGCGGAGACGATGATCGCTCTCCGTGTCCCCATCAGTCAGTCCAGTCAGCACAAACATAGCAGCACCCCCGCCACGCTTTCCAGAGGGTGCCAGGATCCTAGGTCACAGACCAGGGTTCAAAAGGGATGCTCTGCATCTGCTCTACCCCCAGCCACCCTGTCAGACTGGCTCAGCAGCAGCTAATGGCTTATTTGAGCCTGAGGAATAAAGAGAGGCCCAGGGTATCAGCACTTCAAGGTCAGGGCCAAAGCAAAGGTTTTCTGCAAGCTAGCAGGAAATTGCTTTTCTAGTCTCCCTCGTACATCTTCCCTGAGCCGCTTCTGATCGCTACAGAGTTCAAATCCCCCCTCTAGGAGAGATTAGCTCTGCTGCCCTCTGCCACGCCTGCTGTTGTCTATGGCTCCTCCCTGCGGGGACCTGGCAGTCAGGCCACCACGCCTGCACCCACAAACCATCCGGAAAACTGCTCCTTGTCCGAGCCACTCCATCTTCTCTGTCTCTCCACCCCCTCTAGGAGTGGCCTCAGAGGTGGCGCAGGGCCTCCTTCCCGGGCACCCTGGGTGACCCAGCTCCGCACAGAGCCGGGCACAGCACCTCAGCCAGGCATGCGGCCTGTGCCGCTGAAATCCAAGTCAAAGCTTCCACCCTTTAGTGCACAAGCCGGAAGAGTGCTCTCCAGACATAGAGAGGCTTGTTAGCTATGCTGAAAATACAGGAGAAAAGGCATTGCAGTAGGGAGCCCCCAGGTAGGAGGGCAGAAGGCAGCCCTCTACCACACATGGGGACCCACGGAGGGCAGCAGTGGGTGAGAGACTGTTCATCTGGAGAGGCCCTCTGCACCCGCCACACAGAGTCAGAGCCACTGCTGGGGACACCAGATGTAACCTAGGGACACCTCCCGACCGGAGAACCTGCAAAGCCCCATCCCCATCCCTGGGAGGCGGCCCCAGCTGGGCCCCTGGAGACCAGAGTCCATCAGCAGCCTCCTCTGTACCCCAGCAGTCCTCGTGCTCCAGGCCCCTACTCAGCTCAGATACCTGGGCTCCCACGCCCACATCGAGCCCACTCAGAGCCATCACCTGCAGTGCAGCAATTCCCACAGACATCCCCGCCATCCCCAGTGGTCCCTGACCACTCTAGAAGGTCCCCCAAGGGTTGTGTGCCAAAGGATTTAGCACAGTGCAATGGGGCAGTGGGACCCTTAAAAGGAGGGGTCTAGGGGAAGAGGGAAGTGGGATTGTCCCGAGAAGGGACAGTGACCCTAGCCCCTCCTCCTCCTGTTGTCTTTTCTCAGGCCCTGGGCAGAGGTGAGCAGCTTATTTGGCAGGGCATGTGGGTTGTGGAGACAAAAAATGGGGATCCCCGCACTGGAGGCAGAGTCCAGACAAGAGGGCCCAGGCTGCAGTCCTCAACTCTCCGTGGCTCCCACGGCAGACTCTGATCCTGGGTGGGTCCACTACACATGACCTCATCAACACCCAGCCATGCCAGAGGCCACCTCTGATGCCATCACGCTCCGTGCCGTGAGTCCAGGGTTCACAAGCAGCCCCACACCAGTGTGTTGAATGGTGGCCCCCAAGAGACATGTCCTGACCTGGAAGCTTACCGGTGACAAGAGTTAGAAACAGGGATTGCAGATGTGACTACGTAAAGGATTTCGAGGACATCCTAGAGGATACAGTGGGCCTGCGTCCCAAGAGGAGTGTCCTTAGCAGAGAAGGAACCGAAGGCTCCACCTGTCAGCCCAGCTCTGAGGGAGACTGAGGCAGGAGAATCGCAAACTCAAGCTATCGAAACCCTGTCTCAAAATAAAATTTTTAAAAGAGGCTGGCAGGGCCAGGGATTTAGCTCAGTGGTTCCGACACCTGCCTCATAAGTTCAAGGTCCTGAGTTTAATCCCCGGTACCAAAAAAATGAATCTGGGGATGTAGCCCATGACAGCGCATTTGCCTGGCATGGGCTGATTCCTGGCACCTCAATCGTCGATCGATCTGTAAGGACTTGGGGTGTAGCTCAGTGCTCCCGAGGCTCATTCTCCAGTGCCAAAGAGAGGGAGGGGTCAGACAAGCAGCATGAAGATGGAGGCAGAGACTGGACTGATTCGGCCAGACACACCAAGAAGCCCCCAAAGTAACCGGGACCCCAAAGGGGCAGAAGGGCCTCCCTCTGGGTTTCTGGAGTCAGAACGCAGGAAGCCCAGATCCCACAGTCTGTGAGCAGCGGTGACTTGGCCCTTGCATCCCAGCCCTGCGCCCCACGCCATGCAAGCTGCACAAAAGGAATGTATGAGTGTGGCAAGGAGAAAGTGAGGCAAGAGTCCTGTGGAGTCCAGCGTCCGTCCCAGCCCTCTGCCATTCACACTACCCCTGGCTGGGTCCCTCGACCTGGGATGGCCATGCTCGGGCACCCACTAAATGGGTTTGGGGGTCTTTGGGGAGCAGAGAACCCAGGGGACCCTGGGTGGATGGAAGTCGGGAAGCCTATGAGGACCGCAGCCCCAGGGACACCATGGTGTCCAGCGCCAGCCAGACCCCTGAACCGGCCACACTGTCCCTGGGACTTCCTGTTCAGTGGCCACCCAGACCACCGGACCCACAGGTAGGCAGCACCTCAAGGACCAGAGCTAAGGGGATCAAAGCAGTCCCCTCCTTGGAAGCCACTGCCACTGGCCCAAGGGCTGGAACTGGGAAGACTGCGGGGACCCCATCACCTCCCACAAGTGACATTTTGAAGACCTCAGAACCATCAGTGCCACGGGACACGAGACTTCTTTCTCCAAGGTACAGCTCTGCCCTGTGCTCGCGGGGAGCCCCTCACGGGGGCGGTGCCTGTGCACACTGCAGCGGGCGGTGGGTGAGCCTGTGCCGTGCATGGGGGCTGCACCCTCACATGAAAGCCCAGCAGAGGCGTCTGCAGGAGGACGAAGCTACAAGAGCCCATCTGGACCCCACACAGGCCGGGTGCAGTAAACACCACTCCGCTCCTCGGGCGCTCTGGTTTCATTCGTCTCAGTTATTTGTGCACAGTAAATGCAGGTTTAGCAAAGCAGACCCCAAGGGCGGATGGACATCCTGCTGGGAAGGCAGCACTGGGAAGGAGGCTCGGGCAGCTACGCCCAAGCACCTGCCACGGCTCATGCACCCGTCAGGGCCCCGCTCCTTCCTGCACAGCGCCTGCCCCACGGGTCCTGATTCTACACTCGCTGGGGCCCACCATCCTCCCCGAGCCTGGGGAACCTTTCACAGCCTTAAGTGGGAAAGGGCTTGTGATCCCAGTCAGGGCTCAGAGGTTGTCAGCACAACCTCTCTGGTCACCTCTTTTCCTGGCTTCTGCTCCAGCTGGGGAACCACGCTTTGGGGACTCTGGATAGGGCACCTCGACCCTCATCTGCTCCTCTCCTGCCTGACTTACACAAAAGTCAGGAGCCAGTGGGGCAAAGGCCACAGGACAGAACTCTGTGCCCCACGTGGCTTCTCCAGTGACTTGGAAAGGTCCTGTCCCTCTCAGAGCCTGTTTCCCCACCCAGTAGCCCTAGAGTTCTGAGGAAGAGGGAGAACGAGAGGTCTTCCTCCCAAGTGGGGGTGGTCTGCGCTTTGTAAACCGGACTCTGGATGGCCCCAGGTCCCCTCACCTACGCCCTGCCACCCCAGGGCCCTAGCCTGAGGTCCTCAGACATCCAGAAAGTCCCTGACTCTTTCAGGAGCAGTGGCAAATCCAGCCCGGAGAGAGGGGCCCAGGTCTGCGGGACCCTGCCTTTCCACTGCTGAGTTGCTTCTTGTTTTGTTTGTTTCTTTCCTCATCAGTAAGCATGGCTTCTGGCATTTCCCAAAAGCCGCGTCCACTTTGGGCTGGGTGTGGGCGGAGCAGAACGGATCGCAGCTCCAGTGTGGAAACAGCCCTCAGCCAGAGATCCGCCTTCCTTCTTCCCACAGAGAGTACAGCACAGGACCAACTGAGAAGCTGGAAATTCCAGTCTCACCAGCCCAGCACGGCTCCAGCAGCAGGGGAGCCGGGAGGGGGCTCCAGCACAGCAACAGCTGGGCTGGCTGGGTCAGGAGGCCCACAGCTGCTGGGGCCCAGAAGGGCAGGCTGCCCACCTGCCCCACCTGCCGCTTCACCTGCCTGGCTCCTGCCAAGGCCACCTGCAGTGTCTCTGCCTTCACTCCTGCCCCTTAGGGACAGCCAGGTGGGGACTCCGAAGCCAACCTGGCACCGGAGCGGGTCCCCTGGCCAAAAAGAAGATGCCTAAGAGGCAGCCCATGAGATAAACTTCCTCTCAACGCAGAAACCAGCGCTCCCAGGTAACGGGGAAGAAAAGTGGAAACTTCGGAACCAAAGAGCCTCCCTACAGTGCCACCACCCAGGGCATCGCTGTCCAGCTCTGACAGGAGGGTAGCACACGCGAGGGACAGTGGCTCTCCTCCAGGACACAGGCAGGTCCCCAGCTCGCCCCTCCAGGCCCCACCCACAGGCACTGGGTGTCTGTGGTTTCGCTTCTACAGAGGCTGCACCCACTCCGGAGGGTCTTTCCCGCCAGCAGCTCTGGGTGGGTGGCTCCTAGCTGGGAGGCCGGGGTGGGGAGGGAAGAGGAGGAGCGCAGGAAGGAAGAGGACAAGTGGGCAAAGAGAGGGGGAACAAGGAGAGAGGGAAGGGCCAAGGCAGGTGGCCCGGAAGTCGCTGCTGCAGGCTGCATGAGCACGGAGGAACCTGGGAGCCTCAGACAGTGCCGGGCCAGCGTGGGTGGGGAGGCCTGTGCTGCGCCCTCAGCTTCCCGGCCACAAGATGTGACTGCCTCCGCGCAAGGGCCTCTGGCTCCATTAACAGTGGCTGGGCTGGGGGACCTGGGGCCAACTCCACCCCCTCATCCCCTGTCACACCCGGGGAGGGGAGGGAGCGTCACCGCCTGCCATTCTGGCTCCAGGTGTTATTTTCAAAGGGCAGCAGCCTGGGGAAGTGAAAGGGCAGCAGAGCGAGCCAGGGCAGCCTGGGGGACAGAGGGGCCCACAGCCCAGAAGCTGAGAGATGGAGAGAAAGCAGCACAGCCAGAGACACATGAGCTCCAGCCACCAAAGCCACCAAGAACCTCCCCAGCCAGGCTGGAGGGGGACTCAAAGCTGGGCCAAGCCTGTCACCCCCGCCTCCTGTGAGGGCCCCAGGCGCCCCTGGAGCAGCTGGGCAAGAGGAGGAAGCTCTACTGCATACACCTGAACCCCAAAAGGACAACATCACATCCCAACTCCTGGAGCCTCGGATCAGACCGTGCTGGGAAGAGGCCAGGCCTGAAGATGGACAAGGTCCAGTTCCTAAGAGGAGGTCACGGGCCAGGGCAGAGCCCTCTTCTTAAAGAGACACCATCTTCCCAGGAGACAGACAGGGAAGACACAGGAGAGGCCACTGAGGACAGGGGAAGAGGCTGGGTGATGGAGGAGGCCGGAGTGGCCCAGCCCACACCTGGTTCTGGCCCCCAGCACCAGGAGAGAACAAATCCGTGTTACTTGACAACACCACATGTGCTGTCATTTGCTGCAGCTGCCACAGGACTCAAGCACAGTGGGCAGCCAGGTCCCTGCCCTATGACTGTGGCAGAGGTCATCACCCCAGAACTCTGCAGATCCCGCAGGGCTCCAGGCACCCCTGACGTGGGGGGTCCCAGAGCTCACTGTCCAAATCATGGCCCAGTTCCCACCAAGGAGCCTGGGGAGCCACTTGGGGACACACAGGACCTTGCTAGAGCCTGGCACCCACAGACTCACCCCAAATGCCACCAAGGACCTCTGACCCCCGCTGCTACAACGGGGGTCCCCAAGGCCTCTCCTGGAACAGCACCTCTGCTTGAGTGGCCCTGCCAGTTATCCCGAGCAGGAACCCTGGCCCTCATGTCTGGCCCTCATCAGAGGAAATGGGGAGCGGACAGCCAGACTCCCCTGCACCAGGCCCAGCTCCCACGCCTGCCAACAGGCAGGAGGGAGTGCCTGCCTCAGGGTGCGGCTCCTTCCTCCCTGGACAGCCAGCCCGCGGGTGCTGCCTGGCCCTGACACACCCAGAGGGCAGAGGCTGCAGCACCAGGGCGCCTCCCCAGGTCTTCCTCAGCGAAGCCGACTGGGCC